CCAACGAAACAAGGAGATAGATTCCTTGTAATTGTGCAACACGCACACAACAAGGTAGCTGATAAAAACATATACTGTCTTGTTTGAGACTTAAAATGTGCTTAAAATTACTCCTTGCTATTTCAAGTTATAAGTACGCCAACAAAACAAAAATTTTATTTTGATAGAACCAAAATGAAGAAACACGTATATCCTACAATCAGGAAACGTAAAACCAAACAGGTGATTATATTTTTAGTAATATTTTAAACCCTTTGGTTTACTTTTCATGAAGAGGTATTTGGGCTAGCACAAATACCCACAGAGATACTGTTGAACCATATTCGATAAGATAGTATGTCCTTAGACCGCCAAAAAAGTATTTCAAAGGAGTTTTCACAAACATAATCTAATTACGTGCTTGTTTTGTTGTAAAACTTTGTCTACTGTATTATATAAAAATATATTACTTAATACGTGAAAATAGCCGGCATTTTGGCAATAAGTATTAATTAACTTTTTATTATATAGAATAAGATTTTATAATATTATGCAAAAGAAACAGAAAATTCACGAGGTAAGTTTTAAATCCGTTAAAATATAATTTAGTATCATTAGTTATATGTATCTAATATAAAAATTTTTAGATTTAACCATCATACCAGAGGAAACAGAGCCTAGACATATATTGTAATAGTTTTATAGATTTCAAAATATTTAGTATCGTAAAAGATTGTACAAGAGACCCAGATCTGTTACATTTTACAATTTTAAAATAATGGACCCAGTATATGTGGTATACGATAAGCATTTGCATAAATGCTGAAATTTAAGGTGGGTCTAATATTAAAAGGAAATTGTATATGATCTTTTACGGGGTTTTTTTTTGTAAATTGATTTATTATTGTTTTTTTTTTTTTTATCCACAATAGCAAACCCGTTTATGAAACAACTTCCAGTGGACATACTTTATTTGAAAACCCTCCACTTATTGATCCTTATCTAGTTGCCGTTCATGCTGATTATCCAACTATTCTTGCAAATGCTGGTTGTGTTCTAACAGCAGATCAAACCTATGATAGAATAGACACACACTGGTAACACATCATGTCTTAGTATATGCTCACCGGTATTTATGAAACCAGGAACTTCTAAATCTCATTCTGCATTATTTACGAATGCGAACTGGCCAGTATTACAGATCCATGATTAAACCTTCTGGCCCGAACACCGCTACCCCGATCGCTTATTATCCTCCGGTGAGTTACGATCGAACTGGTATTCCTCATCACCCTGCGAATTACCAAACACCACAGGACTATCCGGTAATGGCTGGTCGATATATTAGGAGATAGATCATCATCAGCTCAATTTATTGTTTGGATGAATGAACGCAGGTGCCAATCGAAAGATCTTTATGAAGATACTAACGGTGAGTGTATTCAAAATGACAAAACTGGAAGAAGTGAAGATATATACAAAAGGTTACTAGCAACAGATCTTTTGAAAAGTAAGTTGATAACAGTTACAGGACATATCTCTTTGGATGCTTTACTTATAGGTCAAATAAGATGACGCACTACAATTTTATATGTAAAATTTACAAAAAAAAGCATATTTCTTTAATTTTTTCAGAAAGATAAATATGAAACATAACTTTAAACTTTAAACTAGCTAATAGATCATCTTCCAGTCCCCACGTGCTATATAATAATAGTTATTTTATAATTTATAAAATTTATACATAGTTAAAAAAATAAAAATAAAAAAAAAATTATAAGTAAAATAGTTTAATATTAATTGTGATTAATAATTAATGTGTTGTATATAGTTTGAAATTTTCTGTAGTTGGACTATTTAAAATAATTAATTTGTATTATTTATTATATAAGTGGTTAATATGTTGAGACAAAGATTTTTATAATTAAATTTTGGAATCTGTGTTCTATATTATTGGTAAATTATATATGATTTTACTTTGACTTTAATTTTTTTCGCAATATTTATCTTTTTTAAATTTTATAAAAGTAAAATGTTTAATTAAAAGTGTTTTATAAAGTAATAACGTTAGAATTTTATCTCGTGTCATGGCTTACCAGAGCATCTATTATTATACGATTTATTGTGACCACATAGACCACATAGTAATTCATTGATCGAGCTTTCTTATAAATTTAAAGAGATCGTTATAAGCCGTGAAATAATTCAAGTAGTGAGATAAAATTATAAAATTATTGTTTTATAAAG